CACATCCTGGGGAATGGGGGAGAACACAAAGTCTTTTGCCCCTCTCCAGGGTCATGCAGCAGCTAGAGGGAACCACCAGCTATTTTGAAGAGCTGATGGCTTCATTTAACATAAGAACATAAGAATGTCCGTACTGGGTCAGAATAAAGGTCCATATAGCCCAGTAGCGCCGACAATGGCCAGCGCCAAGTATCCTGGAGGGGGTGGACCAAAGACAATGATCAAACAATTTGTCTTGTGCCATCCATCTCCAGCCTCTGACAAAAGGAGGCCAGGAACACCATTTCTATCCCCTGGCTAATAGCCTTTTATGGACCTAACCTCCATAAATGTATCTAGCTTATCTTTAAACTCTGTTATAGTTCTAGCCTACATGTCGTATGATACTCGCAGTGGCGGGCTGAGGAGAGGAGACTTCTTATGCTACCTTGCTCCCAAGCCAGTGTTTGGGGGTGGGGTAGTGCACAAAAGTCTCTCCTCCCTGCCAAGGAGGCAACAAGCCAGATCAAATGGCTTGGCATCTGGTTGTAGTCTGTGGGCCTCTATGTTCTAGATCTTATTTTTAGGCCCACAGTTTGTTTAATGTTTGTGCTTCAACTAGAAAAGAAAAATGAACTTGATCAAAGCAACACCACAACTTAAACATGGTGGCTGTGTCTACACTGGGCCACTTATTCAGGAAAAGCAATGACGATCTACTGTAAAATTGTCAGTGTTTTTCTGGAAAAACTATGCCACTTCCATTCGGGAAAAAGTCTTTTTCCAGAAAAACTATTCCGGAAAAGGGCCAGTGTAGACAGCACAGTAGTCTTTTCTGCAAAAAAGCCCCGATCAAGAAAATGACGATCGGGGCTTTTTTCTGGAAAAGCGTGTCAACATTGGCCATGGACGCTTTTCCAGAAAAAGTGCTTTTCCGGAAAAGCATCCTGCCAATGTAGACACACTTTTCCGGAAATACTTATAACGGACAACTGTTCCGTTTTAAGCATTTCCAGGAAAGGGTGCCAGTGTAGACGTAGCCGGTGAATTCTAATTTATTATCAATAGGATAAAAGCGAAGAAGTGGTGTGTGAAGAAATCAGCATCTTCCATCCACACAGACATGGTTGAAATAGAGGGCAATGACTGGAGGATGAGAAGGAAAGTTCCCATCGAAATCCTAACTGCCCTTATTAAGTTTGCAGATGACACCAAACTGGGTGGGGTTGCAACTTCTTTGGAGGATAGGGACATAATTCAAAATGACCTTAGCAAGTTAGAGAAATGGTCAGAGGTAAACAGGATGAGGTTTAATAAAGAGAAATGCAAAGTGCTCCACTTAGGAAGGAACAATCAGTTCCATACATACAAGATGGGAAGCGACTGTCTAGGAAGGAGCATGGCGGAAAGGGATCTAGGGGTCATAGTGGACCACAAGTTGAATATGAGTCAACAGTGTGATGCTGTTGCAAAAAAAGCAAATATGATTCTAGGTTGTATCAACAGGTGTGTTGTAAGCAAAACTCGTGAAGTCATTCTGCCGCTCTACTCTGCACTAGTTAGGCCTCAGCTGGAGTACTGTGTCCAGTTCTGGGCGCCACATTTCAAGAAAGATGTGGAGAAATTGGAAAGGGTACAGAGAAGAGCGACAAGAAGGATTCAAGGTTTAGAGAACATGACCTATGAAGCCAGGCTTCATGAACTGGGCTTGTTTAGTTTGGAAAAAAGAAGATTAAGGGGGGACATGATAGCGGTTGTCAAATATCTAAAAGGGTGTCACAAGGAGGAAGGAGAAAATTTATTCCTCTTGGTTTCTGAGGACAGGACAAGGAGTAATGGGCTTAAAGTGCAGCAGGGGAGGTTTAGATTGGACATTAGGAAAAAATTCCTAACTGTCAGGGTGGTCAAATATTGGAATAAATTGCCAAGGGAGGTGGTGGCATCTCCCTCTCTGGAGATATTTAAAAACAGGTTAGATAGACATCTGTCAAGGATGGTGTAGACGGAGCTTGGTCCTGCGGGGGCTGGACTCGATGACCTCTTGAGGGCCCTTCCAGTCCTATGATTCTATGATTCTCTGTATGGCTGCAGGACTCATGGATTCTGGTTCTCAATCCCCTCTCCTCAGCATGCTATGTTTGGTGCCTCCAGGGGGGGCAAAAAATGGAGGGAAGGAAGAAAGTGATGACTAGATGGAGGTTCTGGGGTTCTGAAGCTTTATGGGCTTTCATATTTTGTCACCTGTGAGACCTGGCTAGAATATGTCTCCCAAATGATGAGATATCAATTTTCTGTATAACATCCTAACCTTTTCAAAAATTTTCCTGAATGACATCTAAGCCCAAACACTTCCTATTCTCTGTTCCCTGAGAAAATGCAACAAAACAAGAGAAGGGTTGCCATTGGTATATTAATGTTTGATACATCAGTATTTCATGGTTCTACTTCAGACTATAATTAAAACTGATGTTTGTTAATGGAGGGAAAGATACAACTCATGATTTTCTGCAAAGAGAAAATTTGACAGTGTAACAGTCCTGGGATGAGGAAGGTGCCTGTGATATCCCCATGAAAATCCATTCAAATGTGGTTGAACTATGAGCTGTGAAAATATCCCTAGCATTCAGTCTAGGGGAGTCCACCCGGGACTGGTTCTTGACATGCGCTGTTTAAGATTTTTATCAACGATCTGGCAAAGAACATGTTCATTATCACTGACCGAGTTTGCCATTGAGTACAGGACCATTGTTGGTTTTTATTTTTACTTTTTTTAAAGTTACAGGATACCCCTCTGAGCCTTTTAAATATTATGAAACATCAAATAAAATGTAATACAGGAAGACTTGGGGGCTGTGCCCCCAGCTCGCTGCGCTTGCCAATCCCCCTCTCCGTGCCAGCCCTGATCCCTTCTCCCTCCTCCAGCTCCATGAACCAGAATCATCTCCTGTGAACCAGGGTCCCTTCTCTGTCTCCCCACGTCCCGCAGCCTAGACTCCCATTCTCCCTCCTCTCTCTGTCATGCTAGTCCGGCCAAGCCAGTATCCCTTCTCCTCCCCCCTCCCATGAGCCAGGGTACCTTCTCTCCCCGGCCCTCTCCCTTCCCCCTGCCCAAGACCTTTCTCTGCCCCTCAGCTGTAACCCTCCTCCCCCTCTAGCCCCGGTGGCCGGGGAGGTGCAAGATTGCCTGCCTGCCCCAGGTGGGGCACAGTGAGGAGCAGGTAATGCCGTGTGCACACAGCACTCCAGGGCACTGCAGCCTGCTGAGGTGGCAAAAGTAGCAGTGCTGGGGGCTGCTGTCCCGACTTCTCCCCGTTGTGGTCCCGCCTGCGCTGCTCACTGCCTCAGCCCTGCCTGCAGAGCCCAGGGCCGCCCGGCCACCTGCTAGGAGGAGAAGGGAAGGAGCAGACGAGTCAGTGCAGTGGCTCCCCCAAGCACCTTGTGGGTGCTCTGGCAGCTGCGGCAGGTGCAGCCACTGGGGAGGGAGGAAGTCTTTGCGGGGGCAGACGGACTCCAGGCGGTTGGGCACCATGCTCTGGCTCCCCAAGAGCCTGGCAGTGGGAGAGCCTCCGAAGCCCTGCTGCTTGCACATAAGTCTGGCTGGGAGCCCCGCTTCTTGTGCCTGTTCCCGGGCTGCTGTCCAGAGTAACACCACCCCATTCCTCCAGCCCCGGGCTGTCACGGCTGCAATGTGGGATCTGCCAGCTCCTGGGCCATGTTTCTAGGCATTGAGATGTCAATTTTCTGTATAACATCTTAGACCTTTTTAAAAATTGTCCTGAAGGCCCTCTAAGCAGAAACACTTCCTGTTCATTGTTCCCTGAGAAAATGCAACAAAACAAGAGAAGGGCTGCCATTGGTATTTATATGTTTGATACATCAGTATTTCATGTCTCTGCTTCAAACTATAATTAAAACTGATGTTTGTTACATGATTTTTTTCAAACACTATATTTAAAACTGTTTGTTTTATATTGACAGAAAAAAACAAAGCTAAAAACCCCGTACATTCCTGTTACAGAGTATTTTCAATGCAATTAACTTTATTTCACATTTCAAAAAGGATTTAAAATTCCCTGTAATAGGCTTTGATACACCAATCTCAGCAAATTCTCTAAATACACATCCAATATTGATTACAAATAGTAAATAGTGAATACACAAATGCATACATCCAACTACCAATTGTTTCCCTGGTAGAGTTGTGTTCTAGAATAGTTCTCTGCACTACGGTCTTCTTCTAAAATCTGTTGGAGTATTTTCCATGAGAAAGTAGATGCTTGCCAGATATAAATATTCATATTGTATCTTTCTCAAGACAGGGATTTGCCAATTGTATTTTCCCTATAATGCTCCAGGAACATTTGTGATACTGTGCAGGTAACAATCATTTCAATTCACAGATTGGTTAATTTATGAATGCCACTTGCACAAAAACAGGATTTCAACAGATCTATCCATATGCTAATAATGTTTGGCACCTTAGAAGTAGAGAGAACCTCAGTATACTCCATAGTACGTATGCTGTCTTTGCTTTATAGTAAAAAAAAAACAAATCGTCTGGTAGCACTTGATAGACTAACAAAACATGTAGATGGTATCATGAGCTTTCGTGGGCACAGCCCACTTCTTCACATGACCGGAGTTATGAGTAGGGGATATGAAAACTGGAAATAAATAGAAGAGGGGAAGGAAAGGGGGAAGAAAAAGAAGAAAAAAAAAGGAAAAAGGAAGGGGCGGGGGTGAGACAGGGCTGTGACGGGGTAGGCGGCTCGCCCACGCCACCCCGCACTGAACCGGATGCCGGGGCAGGGAGGCAGCCCCCAAGAGGACGAAGGGGGGTGGAGCGCGAGAGGTCCGGGAGCTGCGCTAAGAGCCGACGCGGCCAACAATCCGCAGCTTCGCCCGACACCTGTGGATGACGTCAGCAGGAGCGACGGGCAGGACCCCAGGAGGGGTGGGGCCCTAAACGCCGGGGCAACGCCAGCTGGCAGGATGGACGGGCGGGGAATTCAAAAGGGGGAAGCTCTGGGGTGTGGAGAACGCCCCCCCCCCCCGCCAGAGGAGCCAAGAGCGAGGGAACCGCTGCGACCGGATCCTCGCCTGAGGAAGAGACTCCTGGTGAGTCTGTCCCCTCGCTGGGGAACTGAAAGGGGCTAAGCCGGGAAGAAGTGACCCAGGGCGGGGCCGCGAACCCCACGAGTGGAGGGTTTGGGGAATTCAACCCCCTCCACTGACAAGGGTCGAGCGTCCCCGTCTTAGGGCCCTGGGTCGGGGCTCGGAGAGTGGGAGGGCCCGAGCCCCCTTCCCGGCCCCTCGGGTCTAAGTGGGCCCGAAGCACACTACGCTACAAGCCATAGACTGCGGCGGGGCGGTCAATCGTGAGGCTAGTCCTCTGTTTTGGACGCTGGTGCACCCGAACTCGGGGTGGCCTCCGGGGAGTGGGTGACAAGGGCATCATTAAGTATCTGGAGAATGGGTACTTAAACCTGAGCAGATCCCAGCCAAACTTCAGCTTTGCAGATTTGTTACCTTCTTTTTTGCTGTCCTCCTATTTTGGTGATACAAATTAGAATGTAGGAGAAAATTTTAGTGAAATGTAGGGAGACTATAGAAGTCTGCGAGCATGTGCTAAGATTAGCTAAAATGTTACCTTATTTTATCTTTCCACATCTTTTCTAAGGAGCTGTAACACTTACATGGCTAGCGGCAGATACTAGAAATTTGACAGTGTAACCGTCCTGGGATGAGGAAGGTGCCTATGAAGTTCCTATGAAAACCCATTCAGATGTGGTTGAACTATGAGCTGTGAAAACTGTAACATTTTCTAGGCAGCATTCATAATAAAGGACAGCTGACAAGTTGTTTGCATAACACTCCATCTTCTTGCATCCTAGTTTATTTCTGTGTATGTCTCCTCAGTAGGGGGAAAACTGAGGCTTGTTCTGGAAACAACAGACAAACATTCATTTGGAACCCTGTGCTGGTCAGTTTGTGGCCCTACACTGTTTACAATTTTACACTCTCTTGCGCAAAAGCACATGGCAGTTTGGACGTGCTCTTGTGCAAGAACTTTTTGCGGAAGATCTCTTCTGCAAAAAGTTCTTGCGCAAGAAGCCTGCAGTGTAGATGTAGCCATAGACATCTAGGAACACGGAGGGGAATGAGGAGGGGGGGATTCAATCCTCAGAAGCAATGACTATGAGAAAGAATTGGTGCACTGGTAGTGGAAAAATGTTAACTATCAGAACTGATGTCCTACCATAGTCACACGATATGGCCTGGGGTAGGGGAGGGACAAGCCCTGGACCATGGGGGGAACAAGGAGGCCTCCCACTGATGCTCCCCGGACCTGTTCTGGGGAGGCTATGCAGGCTTGCTGGTGTAGCCATTCTGGGAGGGGGGTCTGGTGTTGCTGGGAGGGGGGGTGCTTGTGTGTCTTACAGGGGGGTGGGATGGGTCTGCACTGCCTAGCCCTGGTAGTGTTTGAGCGGGGCATAGTGGTAGGGGCAACAGTGCTTCTTCCCTGGGTCCAAGGGCTGGGAGGGAGGTGTTTGGGAGAGGAAGGGCTGGTAGCTAGTAAGATGGAGAACTCTGTCCTCAGCTGGCCTCACTCTCCTGGTCTGGTTGCCTCCATTGGTCACTCTGCCGTATACCTGTGCTAGTGCTTGCTGCCCCCGGTGATGAGTGTGCAGTATTGCATCCCTCTCATCAGCCCCCCCCCTTTCCATGTTATGGAAAACTATTGAATTCCAGGAACATCCCATTTTCCTGTCACAACCAAACCCAGACCTTGTTTAAGTTAGGATAAGAAGCTGCATATCGAATTTGGTGGTCCTAGCTGTTACCATTTAGGAGTTCTTCAACAAAGAGACTTACAGACAGACAGTCAGACAGACTTACAGACAGAAGCCTTTAAAATATAGAGAGAGATTATGCAAAATGTCTTTTGCTGGGGGAAAAAAGCTGAACTAAATATATGGTAATTTTTATTAGCCCTGTGATAAACAACAGATCACCACTTTGGCTTAGCTAATGTACCCTGGTGGTAAAGCACAGGTTTTTTGGAGGTTTTGAGGACACTTACAAGAATCCTTACAGATACCTGCTGATGGATTTTAATGCTTCAGTGCATGAAGCCCACAACCAGACTGGACCTGTGTATATACCTTGAAAATAAAAGTCATTTTTATCAGATTTCCATTTAAAAAAGAATGTCCCTCTGAAAAGCATGTTTAGCCATGGGCAGAGACACCTGGCCCTTTTCAGAGCCCTCGTCAAAGCCAAACCATAGCTAAGAAAGGCTCTGCTCAGCTTCTAAGAAATCCATATAATCACAAAGACACCGCTCGTGTAAATGGCTTTATAATATGGGGTGCAAGGGACATAGAACCGCGAATGCTTTTTAGGAGAAGTTAATTCTTAATTCATTATCTCCTGATTTCCCATCTTTCCCAAGGGGGAAAAATATTTTTAAAGGAGTAAGGCTGCAGATAGTTTGTTCTTTTCTGTGTGTGTCCTACCCAAGTGCTCACATGTGCGCATCATGAGGCAGCAAAAGCAAGCTCCTTGTAGACAGAATGTGTGGCAACCCTCTGACAAGATCTCCTGGGGAATGAAGATTAATGACTGTGTGGGAAAGTGCCACTGTTATCTGAAATTGAGTCTTCCCTACATTTCATCCCTGTTTTACTCCAGCTTCCAGTTGAATGGGAAAAAGAGATCAAAGTGGGGTTTACTGGCAGCAGAAGGGGAAGAGTAGGCATTTATTATAGTTATTATTGTGTACAGAAGGGCGTTTCATATTTAACTGGAGCGATTTGTCCATCCACAATTGTAGCACCCACTTTCTCCTGCCTGGCCCAAACCCAGGTGTGGTCCTCAGTGCAATAGGTGCCAATTAAAGCAGATCCCTGGGTTCCAGTCAGCATTTGGAGGTGATCCAGCTGGCACATCGCCATCTGTGGGGAAAGCTTGGAGAGTTGAAAACAGCGTTAAAGTTGTAAGTTAAATCAGTCAATGTTCAGGATTTTGTCCTGGCTCTGTTTGCAGGACAGGGGGCTCTGAAGGGACATATGTGTGGTGGGCTTAGCAGAGTCAGTCACCAGACAAATAGTCGAATGTAAGGTGAGGTGAGCTGTATCTCCCTGATTTGCGGAGTAGCTTGCTTTTTCTCTCTCTGTTTTTATGTTTGTGTGCTATCATTTTGCATACCAAGAAATAAAGCAGTTTGATTTTACAAACTTCTTGTAAGAGCATCGCTGTATTTCTGTAAAACCTATCTGCGTCGTCTAAACCAGTGCTTCTCAACCAGAGGTATGAGTACACTTGAGAGAAGTGTGGGGGGTACATCAACACGACTGAAATTTGGAGAAAAATGAAGTTTTATTTTAAGTTTCACAGCGCTTGATTATTTTCATCACCTGTCTGGCTACAATTAAGTTGTTTAAACAAACATGTTGCAATGGTAGAAAAAAAATTGAGTCTGAAAACTGTAGGTACTGGGGGTTCTTTAATATAGGGGTACCTTATAAAAAACGGTTGAGAAACACTGGTCTAAACAGAACAGGAAAACTCTCAGAGCTGGCCAGCCAGGTAAACATGCCAGCTCTCATTGTTCCAAGTGGGTGGGAAAGTTCCAATGCTCCCTCTGCTATTTCTGTCCATCTACACAGACAAGGGTGAAACAGAGGTGTAGGTACTGGGGGTTCTTTAATATAGGGGTACCTTATAAAAAACGGTTGAGAAACACTGGTCTAAACAGAACAGGAAAACTCTCAGAGCTGGCCAGCCAGGTAAACATGCCAGCTCTCATTGTTCCAAGTGGGTGGGAAAGTTCCAATGCTCCCTCTGCTATTTCTGTCCATCTACACAGACAAGGGTGAAACAGAGG